TCGCCTTCAAGGGCCACGGGTCAATAGCCCATTCGGCTTCGCCTCATGGGCTATTGACCCGTAGCCCGCAAGGGCTACGGGTCTAATTGTTAATTAGCCACCCCCAAATCTTAGTTTAAAATCTGGAATAAAAAGCGCTCCGCTGATCCTACAAACAGCAAAGGAAAAGTTCCTCTTTCTGAAATCAACACCTTATTATCTTTTAAGATATTTGGCAAAGCTAATGACCTCACCAGAAATTAATTTCTTATTTTAACCATAACTTGTCATCAGTCGCGTGTGCGACCCGCTTGTCTATCTAAATTTTATGTATCGAAGATATGTTATTATGAGTTTGCCAGTGAGCGCAAACTTATCCGACACTGTATAAACCAAAATCCACCCCCCAAATCTTCGTTTAAAAGCTGAAATTAAAAGCACTTCGCTGATCCTACAAACAGCAAAAGAAAGCTGCAAGCCCGGGGCGCGGGGTAGTCCCTTACATGGGCTATATCGGTATGTGCGGCCCCAAAGGGTAGTGTCAGTTTTCAGCCGTTTTGGTCATAAATAGGGTGTCGAATTTGGCCATTTTGGTCTTAAATGGGGTATGGTTTTAGCACTCTAGTCTTGAATTGGGTATGTTTCTTAGACAAAGCTACTTTTTCGTCATTATCAATAAGACTGTCAACAAAAGCCCTTCATAACTTATGTGTAGGGTAACTGTGCCAGCCGCAACGGTCATATATAGGCTATCTGATTTTTGGCCAGGTCATAACTAGGGTGGCAAAAATCGCATATTTTGGTTATAAATGGGGTAAGGGTTTTGGGAAGTGGGCCGCACACCCCCACCCAGCTTTTCTGAGAGTACTCCCCGGGGCCGCAAAGTACAATTTTCTCTCTCTGAAATCAACACCTTATTATCTTTAAAGATATTTGGCAACGCTAATGACCTCACCGAAAATTATACTTGTCATCAATGAACATTCGTATTGTCTTTACCCTAACAAAACGGCTATCGATTGTTTAATCACAACCACTCTTTCGTTGACAGAAAATATAAAACAGCACATTTCCATAACTTCATAAAAAACTGAAAACTGCAAATGAACCGTACCCTGACTTCATTATCACTATTGTAAACCGTATATTTTAGTGCTCATACAATGCTCATACAGTGCTCTCACAGTGCTCACTCAATTCAGACAACGCTCATTCAATCCACTTTAAGACTGGCAAAAGTACAACTGCGCCAGTGAAGAAAACAAGAAGCAGGACAAGAAAAAGGGCAAGACTACAGCAACACAAGACCGATGGACAGAGGACCAGGTGAAATACCTTGTAAATCTGTGGGAGGCCAATATATCGAGGCTGGAGAACCAACAATCAAGGAAACATTCAAAGATTTGTCAAACGTAAACAAAACGCTAGTGCGATGGCGCGTGGACAACAGTCAAATTCTCAGAAAACAAACTTGAAACCTGAAGTGAAAGGAGCGTGATTAAACTCAGCTACATATGGAGTAAAGCCAGCTTATAGACCTTATAAAATTAGCTGACGAATGGCGATCTCAGCAAAGCTAGTTTCTAATGTAAATCTCCAGAATGTATGTCTACTGAGCCTAGGAAGCTGTGTGAAGTCAGTTGAATTTTGTTTCGCTGAATCATTTAAGTTCGTTCAGCAACAAATACATTCATTCTATTTAACGCGCATACAAATGTTTACTTTATCCAGGTGCAATGCATGATCTAAAGTTTGCTGAAAGTACAATATTTAGTGCACTATTTGTACAAACGCCTTTTAATCTATTTTGTGTTTTTCCAAAGTAGCAATTTCCGCTAAATTGGGCTCTTTTTTCCTTACTTCTACGCATAATTCGGCAAAAATGGCCTTTTTATGCTCTATGCTGGAAATAAGCAGAGATAATCTATATTTTAGACCTCAAGAGAGTGCATTTTCTTAAGATATTAAAAATCATGTTTTGGGTGAAAATTAATGGTACGGGGAAACGATTCCTTTCAGGAATATGTAAAACACGAATATTCTCTTGCAGTGCTAAGTGACACCGTTTTTGTCATAAAAAGTAATGCCATATGACACAATTTTTTATTGCACCTGTTGGACTGACCACTGCAAAGATTAAATTCTTGCAGAGTTCTAAAAAAACAATAATGCTGGTGATCTAAATCTGTTGAAACATCGTACATAATGGTTACTGCAAAAGCTATTCTGAAAAAATCAGCCTTAAAACTGTCGTACATGCAGAACATGCTTTCTTTTTGGTGAATTTTAAATATTAACCATGCATCCATCAGAACACAGGACTGTGTTCTGATGGATCAGAACACACGCCGCAGAAATTCTGCACCCTGGAATCAGATCACAGACCACAGAAATTCTGCACCCTGTGGTCAGAGCACAGGCTGCAGAAATTCTGCACTCTGGGATCAGAGCACAGGCTGCAGAAATACTGCACCCTGGGATAGAGCACAGGCTGAAGAAATTCTGCATCCTGTGATCAGAGCACAGGCTGCAGAAATTCTGCACCCTGTGATCAGAGCACAGGCTGCAGAAATTCTGCACCCTGTGATCAGAGCACAGGCTGCAGAAATTCTGCACCCTGTGATCAGAGCACGGGCTGCAGAAATTCTGCACCCTGTGATCAGAGCACAGGTTGCAGAAATTCTGCACCCTAGGATCAGAGCACAGGCTGCAGAAATTCTGCACCCTGTGATCAGAACACAGACCACAGAAATTCTGCACCTTGTGATCAGAACACAGGCCGCAGAAATTCTGCACCCTGGGATCAGAGCACAGGCCACAGAAATTCTGCACCCTCTGATCAGAACACAGGTTTCAGAAATACTGCACTGTGGGATCAGAGCACGGGCAACCAATTTACTAAGGCATTGGAAACTGCACACATTTTGAATTCTGCACCTTGGAATCAGAGCACATGCTGCAGAAACTCTGCAACCTGTGATCAGAACACAGACCATGCTGCAAATAGAAATACTGCACGGAGCTAACAAATGCTAAGAAAATAATTTAATGTATTCATGTGAAGTTTATATGAAATAATTCATATATGAACTGCGGTTGTAGATGAAAGTGAAGAATGATCATTTCAGAGTCACTGGCAAAAATACTGTCAACTGTTGCTTTGATCTCACTTTGCATTTCAGAGGAGGAAGAGCTAATCCACACAGCATTTCTGCCTCCTTTGAGGGCCGCAACAAAGGCACTCCCACTTTTACTATTAACATCGACAACTGTATCTCCTTCTCTAGAGAGATGCTCCACCAGCCAGGAAAAGGAATCTTCCGGCAATGGCTGGTTTGGGGCATAGTCCACAGTGATTAAATTTTCTGGGCTTGAAGAGATGGACAAATGTCTGGTGGTGACTTGTCGTGACACTGACCAGTGGCCCATGACAAAGGTCTTCACTGCTTCTCTCAAATAAGGGCCTGAAACAAATGAAAACGGAAAACATAAACAAAACAAGCTCCTGTTAGTTATTTCAGTTTGTAGTGGTAATGCTGAAATTTAACATTCGCACAATCTGCTCCAAATTAGATTTTCATTGATCAACAGTCTCAAAACAGAAGAAACCACACAGCATGTTCATCAAGCAGAACTGGACAAAATGGTTCACAAACATTGTGGTTTGAGTAAAGAGTAAACCAGAGGCTACATGTAGCTAACACTTTTTTCGGAATTCTAGTTGGCCAATTAACTTCTGCTTTCAGAACAAAGTTGATGGCCTGACTGATTTTTTAAAATGCCATCATCACTTTAAAATATATTAACACTTGTTATAACTTAAATCTGTTGATGTTAAAAACTTGGTAGATATCGCAGTTTTTAAAGAACAAGCATCAAGAAGCCCTCTGTTTTTTTTTTTTAATTTTGTTGTGTGACAATTACATGTAAACCCATCAATACAATATTCCCCAAGATTATGTTCCTTATGGATAACATTAATTATACAGGTACATGTACGTCAGTTATCTGGATGGGCGGGTGAAGCATTTAAAAAATCATAAATGTGCAATAATATTATTACCTGTCTTCTCGCGTCTTTGGGGAACATTTTTCACATAGAAATGTGCTGTTTGAGTATCTGCTGCTCCCCCCTCTATCATCTGTTCCTTGACTACCTTGACATCATCAACATTCGTGAATAGGACAAGGTTGAAGGATGTTGTCTTTGTGAAATTTAGCCTGGATATAAGGCTAATCACATCCAAAACATTCTGTGGACACAGACAGAGACAAGGATCAAATTCCATTGACTTTAAAGTAAGTGACCATGGTTATAAAAACAATGTCAGTTACATGTGCTGTCAAAAATGAATCTGATAAGCCTCAAAAGCTGAGGCTCTTTATGGTAAAAATGTTTTGGCAAATGCAGTTTTGGCAAATGCCCTTGTCTGTCCACCGTGACATATAAAAATGTGAGTTTACAGTAATATGTTCCAAACACTGTACTTTGCCATCACATTTGTAAAACTCTGTAGAATGCCGTTTATTATTCAACCACTGGTAAAAGATGCCCAAGAACTATTTTACAGTAAGTTGTCACCTTGGTTTTATTTTTAACATAATCAAGATGTGTACTTACTTCACAGTCATTGCCTGCATTCCCTATGGCCAAAAACGCACCATGAAAATGAAGTAACTTTACTACAGCTGCCTGTTCCACCATGCTGAAATCCTGAGAAAAGACAATGATTCCCTTTGCTCCATTTTTGCCATCCACTAGACCATCCACTTCCTGGACACCCTCATCATCTCTCTGTCTCCTCAGTCTTTCTAAATATTTTTGGAATTCATGAAATTGTTCAAAATCCTTCACCTGGAAGTAGGACATACAGTATGCCATTTGTTAATGTTATTGAACATGGACATCTTTCTCTGTTTTTATTCCTGACTTTTTCACATGCAAGAAAATTATGAAGCAGTAAAACAGTTATTTTGTTTCTATTATTTGCATCCCAACTTTTCAAATAATCTCCATACTGACTGGACTTTGTGTAAAAGAAAGCTTCATAGTATGCATTTTTTTTGAAGAAATCATTATTATGGATAATTGTGTGGCTAGCCTTACATATGTATGTTTCATCCCACATTAAAGGCTAGCCACATAATTATCCATTGTAAAATTCTTACACTTTTTCAAGTTGTTGAAATCATTATTATCAAATTAAATAACCATTATGTTATTTTGCTAAGGCAACTGAATGTATCTTGATATAACCAGGACTTATGCTAACAGCAGAGCGTAACAGCTTCTCTGGCAAGACTTCAGATCCAAATTCATCTGCAACCCCTTCCCAAGTCTCTGCCTTAAAGAATAGAACAACGGCTTCTTGAACTGGCCGCAATAACTTTATTTCTGAAGCTGCAGACTTCATCTCCTCCAAGCTCATCTCAAGTTTTGACACCTGCAAAAGACATCAACCACATGCACAGATGTATGGCAGTCCTAGGCCACCGTACAGGTGACAACGACTCACTCCCACAATAATCCAATCCATACATCAAAATAAATTCACTCAAAAATATTAATGGCTTTTTCGAAAATTTCTTATAATTACTTTAGTCCTAAGGCAGAAAGTATATAATAGTAGTTTTCTCCTCTCAGTTTTATGGTCATCATTTTTTTAAAATTCTTTTTCCTTCAGGTCAAGATCATCCAAGAGGTAAGCAGGCCTTGTAATTTATTTGCAGTCGTTTATGCATTTACTGCTCAGGAAATAAAAGAACTTGAGGTGTTTGGAAACAGGGCAGGGTTCATACTGAGCTCTTCTCATTCAGAGATCACTGCACCACACTGTGCTGCATACATACGGGTACAGCAGGTACTACTTAGAAAATACAGGTCTTGATTAATGATGCGTACCTTCTCTAACAGGAAATTTTGGTCCTGAGTTGACAAGCTACAAAGAGGCTTCAACTGCCACTGCTTTAGCACTGGCTTCCCCTTGTTCACAATGTCAGTGGCCTTTGGCTTTTGTCCCTTCAACTGAGCATTTTCAAACAAAGCATTCAGTGATTGAAAATGTCTCCATCCCTCTGCAGACAGCTGTGCCATTGTAAAAACCTCACTTAGGTTTCTTTTCTACACAGGTGTAAAAGAATTGACAGAACAGAAATCAGACAGTGATAACAGAAGGAGCAGGCATTGACTTTTAAATAAAAATAGGCACCATACAGGCGCATGTGACTACTGCTTAAAAGGTGGAAATACAAAAAGTAGAATTGTCCTATATATGCAGTTATGTGGAGAAGAATGTGTGCAAATGTTAGATCATGAATGTTGGTGATTGGAGGCATTCTTGAATGCTAATAAGCTATTGTTAAAGAATGTTTGAATTTGTACAAAAGAAGAAAAAAATGGTTCTCTAATAGGCCATTTTCATTGTATTAAAATTCTAACATGGCCATGAGGCTTCGGGGAATAAAACAAAAGAAATTAATTATTCATTCCTCAAACTTAATGTGATTTCTTTTCTTGTATTTCCTCAAGCCTCCAAGTTGGAATTTTAGTACATCAAAAATGGCCTATTAGTGCATTTGGGTGTTGCCAGTGTAACAGTTAACAGAGTCAAGTGTAAAACTATCAGCAGTGTATGACGTATGGTGTACGAAAAGTAATCAGTAAACAAACCTGATGAGACAATCAAAAACATTTTTTAATATTTTAATAAACTGATGAAACAAGATTTATGGTAAAGAACACAACGAGAATGGTACAAATCATAGCAACAGTTCTGGGGTTGATTGAGAGTACCTGTATTATGGAGGAAATAAAGGTAACTTTTGCTACATCCGGCACTACAGGGATGAGTAAGTGAGTGAGTT